TATGCTGTATGGTCAGGAGACATTGAGAGCTGTCCGGGATTATGAGAAGGTTCAATCAATTAGTTTTCAAAGATTATGTCATCATTATTTTTATCGGCTTCCACTTCCGTCTGTTTGTGTTTAGAGGTTTGTTATGTAGCATGCAAATTATTATATTTTGAAATGCAATGATCTACTTTGTATTCATATAAAGCACTTCGAAGATATATTCCTTTCTCGGCTCGTCTTGATCTGATCAACCAAGTCTTGTCATGTAATGTGACTAAAACTCTCGCACATGTAAGTACGTAGTCAAGTTACCCTTATAGTTTTAATTACTATAGAAATCGAGCGATGTTCAAACGTTCGTTAACCCAGCTTTGCTTGAGAGGAGGACGAGAGATGTCAGGCTAGACGATTGCGCCATGAAAGACGTGGATGCTCAGAGGTATTTAAGAGTCATTTCTTTGCTTTCTTTTGTTTCATAAAATAGTTGATAAAAAGACTAGTGACATGCATTGTTGGCTGAATTGTAAGATAGTAGACTCACAGAAGTAAATATCCGTGTTACAGGGAGCCGGCCATCCAGATTTGCATTTCAATACAACGGCGCCGAGTGTTACCGTAAGATGGTATTTCTGTAATAAGTCAAAGAAGCTGAAAAATTGAACCTTAAAGGTAAAAAAAGAAAGAGGAAAGCCGAACAGTCAATATATAGACTCTTACTACACAGTACGGTGGCAGTCAAAGACCTGAGCTCGTACAAGAACGGTGGATGTAAATAACAATTTCATTGTAGGCATTGAGACTTAAATCCTACTTGGTTCTTTCTCGCGGAGTTGGAACTGCATCTGTTTGTTCTCTATATGAAATCAATGCAAACTATAGTCGAAAAACATCGCCTAAAAGAAGTTTTATGAATGAACGAAAAGCAAAATCCCTGTGTGTAATGTATTGTTGACTCAAACTGCAGGACGGAAATTTCGAGAAATAAGCGAATTAATGCACTGACTATCGCGACTGAATTCTAAAAGTAATCAATCACAGTCGTGTGTAAGTTCTATTTTTAACGCGTTTTTGCTTGCTGTTTGTCCTCCAGTAAGTGATAAAAGACGCAGGTGAACGACTGAACATATCATACATAACCGACTAAGCTAACTTTAAAAATCAAAAACGTTAAGGTAAAGTTGTTCATTTACGCTATGTCACTTCCACACCCAGCATTCATCAAAGTTAAGTAACACTGTATTCTTCCTTACCTAGTACGGCGTCTTTCCAGGCCCTGTCGGTCAATGCATTTTCGGTGACGTATCCGAGACGATCGGCCGGGAGACGCCTAGACAATCTCGGAGTGCGCATGCGTGAGCATTTTTGCATTTTTAAAAAGTTCACACGGTCAACTGAAATAATCTATAAATAACTTTGCGCGTGACAAAAATAACTAACCTGGTCTCTGTTATTAAAGAACAAAAACATTACTTTGAATCGGAAAGAATACTACTGTATAACGTGCAAGTAATTTCTCTTTTAGTTCATTTTCAAATGAATCATTAAAATGATATTTCTTTATTGATAAAAAGACTTGAAACGGTAGTTTAGAGACCAAATTCAACAGCCTGTCCGATTAGTTTGATAAGCTTCCGAATCCAAAAGTTAAATTACATAAAATATTTCGAAGTGAAATGATAACGAGAAATTCATAGGAGCAAGCGAAAATAGAGAAATGAAAGATAGCTTTTCATCTCCAAGAATAAATATAAACTTATTTCTTTAGTCTACCTCCCGATTCTTGATCAAATAATTATTTTGCGACGCTGTTTTGCTTGGCCTACAAATAGTTTTTGAGATGAAATAAAGTTCAAATTAGTTTAATGAGATAAATCATGGAAAAAGAAAGGCCAAAGGATTTTCAACAATGAAAACGTGCATAGAATAAAAATGCTCGGTTTATCCTCTGTACTCTCCATGGCTGCTGGACATTTTTCATCAGCGCGGAAAAGTTATTGACAGCTCGCCCGCTTCCAAAAGCTCCGCCCCAAGTGAGACAAAATGTCTCACTTCTCCGAGTTTGTCTAGGCCTCAAAAACTTTCTCGGACCACGTGACCTGAAAAGCATCGGCCGCGCATAATAATGAGGCCTAGGGACTAGGCAATATTCTTCCATCCATCACATGTTTGCGTCAAGGGCCCATTATCGTATCTCGTTGCTAAGTAACCCAGTTACTATGCAAGTGGAAACTTACTTCCGGTTTTCATATTCGGGCATTTTTGGACTGCCGGCCGCGCGGGATATCTTTTTTCATGTAACGTGCGTGTTTTCGTTTACGCTTGAATTTTACTGCTTATTTCCAGTGAAAAGGAAAAAAAAACCGAAAGGTATAATCATGAGCAGGATTCATCGTTTTTATAGTGAAGAGTCTTGTCTACTGTATGTTTCGACCAGGAAGACTCATGATATTACCCTTACCTTCTCGTGTTGTTCTTGCTGAAGCACCGAATGTATAATACAGTAAATTATTTTTATAGACTGCCTAGCAAAGTTAAGCACATAAGTTTAGTTTCTTCGCCGAATGGTCAAGTTCAAAGTTTTTCCTCTTTAATTTCATTTAATAACAGCTGTCGAGATCCTAAAATAAGAGATCCTAAACCTAATAGTTTTTGGCACAAACTTAACGTGCCTAGATAAACTGCAAACTGTTATCCAGTTTTTTTGCGTGGGTGTATCATAGCGTGCATCAGAAACAAATAGCGTACAGCGAAGTACGTTGAACAGCTTTCAACAGTGATCTTTTGTTCCTTTCAAAAATATGGCGTGATCATCCAGGACGTTGCGTCATTATTCATCCTAGACTGATATTTGAACTTCGACCTCTATGAAAAATTTTGGAAACTGATGATAGGTTGCTTGAAGTGCCAGCTGTGGTCTGTATTTCACCTTATTTATTTGTTTATTACTTACATCTCCCCTTTAACACCCATGTTATGAATTTAGGGTCATTTTAACTTAACGTTATGTTTGAACCATCTTACGTCGCTCAGCATTAACAGCTAGCGTTCTGATTTATCGGCGAACAAAGAGGGCCTCCCTGAGGGGGGAGGGGGTGTGCGTACTCCTTTGTTCCCTATAAAAACTGAATGTACGCAAATCAAAACGGTTCTACTTCACCAAGACCTGCTGAATCACTTTCACTACTCTTAATCATTAAATAAACATTGTTTATTTCACAAGAAAGTATTCAAAAAGAATCGTGCTCATTTTTTTCGGAATTGTTCAAATGCTGCATCGGACGTCCTCTTAAGGTTCGTTTTATATTTTCAACAACTCATTCCTATTTCGTTTCTTTTTTTGAAACAAAACTCACCAGTAGGCTAGCTCAGTAAAAAGTGCATTTATCGAGGTCCTCGTTGTGTTTTTCTGCAATCCATTCAGTCCTGCATGAATATTATAAAAACTGTGAGTGGACGTCATCCGTATTCTAGCTATATTGTATGTTCCCTTAAAGTGGTAGTGAAAAAAGGTTAATACTCATCTCCATACTCCAGAGTGACGTTGACACATTATGATTCATACACAAAGTAATTCTCTACAAAGGAAGGAACCTCATTGACTATCAATACTGATTACGGTTAAGCCCTTAGAATATTGATTAGGGTTTAGCAATGATCAATACTGATTAGGGTTAAGCCTTGACAATAGTGATTAGGGTTAAGCACTGACTCGAAAAACAGTTAGGTTCTATTTAGGATTAGGGTTGTTGCTATATAGCTTCAAATCAAACAAACATTAGCCAGCAAACTCTCAGTGGTGTAGTGGTATAGGTGATGGACTACAGGATCCGATGCTCCGGGATCGTGCCATCCCGGATTTTTTTCCCCTAAATTATTGAAGGGACTTAGACTTTCATGATCATTTTATCAAGCAGAAATTTCAAGAGACCTAGAAGTTTCATGTAGGAAAAGCGAAATATCTCGTGAGAGCCACTGAGAGGGAAATGTCATTTTTAGTAGAGTATAGAGATGAGTGCTAACCGTGAAAAAATACAGTCTTTTTACAAACGAAAAATCTCTTCACATTCAAAAAAATCATAAAAAGTATCTCGTGGCATCATTTCTCGAAATAGGTGACATCACTTTTGACCAGCTGCATCATTAGAGGGACGCGAAATAATACTTCAGTGAAACCTAAAAAGCAAACAAAGAAGCTTTCTCTAAATATTCATTTCCTCATTTTTAGGGATTTACCATTGGACTTAGCTTTCGGGTGAGGTTGGTTATCTCTTTTCCGAGAGATTGTCTGGCAGGTTGGGTATAAGGTAAGTATTATGATCACTCAGTTAGGTCTATCTGTTTTAGCCATACATGGCAAAAACAAAAACAAGAATGCTATTAATGATGATGATGATAATAATAATAATAATAATAATATCGATAAGAATGATGATGATGGTCATAGTTGCTGTAATATATTACCATGATCAGCATCATCTCAGCATTATTATTATTATTATTATTATTATTATTATTATTATTATTATCAATAATAATAAAAACCTGTCGCTGTTTTACACTTAGATGGGTCGCCACTATTCGCCAAAGCCATTAAACATGAAAGTTTGTACACAAGCGAATATCTGAGATAATATTAACGGGAAAAAGCAACCCTTCTTAATTTTCCATTTTAGAAAGCGCGCTGAGGGCTTGATGTCTGATTATATTGCCTTATGCCGAAACGACACTTCAAACTTTTCAAACTCCTGACGCCCTCCCCTTTGAGTACTTGATATGTCTTTCGGTCCACCCGTCCCCATTCTAATTCCCGGTACCAGGCTCCGTGAGCTGGAAGGCATGTTCTCTAGAACCTTTTAAGATTCATACAATGCCTTCGGGTTCTTCCAAGTTTAAATGTGTCCCAATTATGTTTGTTTACAATAGAGGTATCTACTTGCCACAAATGACTAATAAACTAGTTTTACTGCAGGTTCATCTAAATGGCTTCTGCTGTTGTATGGTTAGCTCCATGTACAAAGGAGACAACAAATTATGCTCGTCTTTGCCGTCTTTTGGTGGATGGGGGCACCAAAGCCTTAAGGCACACCTTTGACACCTTTCATCCTCCAGCGGCCCTATGTACCGATTTGACACACCCTTCCAATCACTTAATTCTACAGTCCCTTAGGAAGAAGAGAATTCTCAATGCCACACAATGGGGTAAATTGTATCCTGCTACTCCTGCAACTGTAAGATCAGAAGACTTTGACATCACACTTTTGGTGCTGCTGTTAAGAAACATCTGTCCCCTGACTCTTCCCGCCACAGGATGGGACAGTCTACCACTTGCTTCAGATGCGAGTGTTGAGGCTAACATAGCCAGAGTAAAGTATTGTAGAAATGAAGTCTATGGACATGCAAGCCAGGCATCTATCGACGATCCAACATTTACTGCATTGTGGCTGGATATCAGTAATGTATTGATAGAATTGGGTGTAGATGCTACTACTATCAATAAGCTGAAGACTGACACCATGGATCCTGTCATTGAAGAGCATTACCAAAAGCTGTTGAAGGAATGGAAGGAAGATGAAGCTAACATCAGGGACAAACTTGTTGAGATGGAAGGTACATATGATTGGATTGTGCAATGTTAAATGTATCTTGAGTTTCACTTAAATGTCTGTGCATTAAAACTGTGAAAGGCTTGAACCCAGGGGTCATTTCATAAGTAGTTAAACATGATCGTCCGGGTGAAAGTAGTCTTGAATAGGACTGTTGTTGACAGTGACTGACGTTCCGACAACGTACCTGTGCGGTATATTAATCCTCAGAGTCAAAGTGAGTTGTATCACGTCAGTTGATGACATTAAACTCTGGTTATTGACGGACCTGATTGGTCATTTAATTCGCGATGTTATTGGTCGTCTGTCAGTTAGGCCGTGTTGTTATTGGCTGTGAAGACTCGAAATGTCATTGGTGCGTCTCGATCCGTCTACTGTCAAAGTTTAACAGTCGTTTATTGCTACTCAAATTTTCAGTTGTCTAGTCATTCTCTCGTTATTCGTTAGTTAGTTTTGCTTGAGTCCGTCATTTAAGTCGTTTGTTCGGCGCCAGTAACGGTTGAATACGAATTAGTACAGTCTTCGCATTGCTAGATAAAACAAGTCTTTTGGGTATTGTTTTTGAAAGCATACTATAAGTAACAATTATTCACCAAAGCGGAGGTGGCTAGTGGTGGGTGGAATTTACAGAGCCGCGAATTGTTTTAGTATATACTAAAACAGTGAGATAATTGAGCACAAAAATTATGATTTTTAACCTATTTACTGTTGCCAACGACTAATATTTTGGGGCACAACGACCGAACAGCCGTCAAAATAAAGCTTTTGAAGGCATTTGTTTAGCTCTTGCGAGGAAATTACTTCTCAAGGAGTTGTGAATTCTCTTTGTATTTAAAACAATTATGTAAAACACTTTTAAATTTAGTTTTAAGCTTATTTCTGAACATGCGAGCTAAATAAAGTAACGCAAGAATTAAGCTTATTTCGCATTTGTAAACAAAAAAACTTTTTCACCGGTTTCATCGATAAATTCAAGTCAAACAGACAAAGCTTTTCCAAACCGAATTTCGTCACCTTCATCGTGTATTTTGGGAACAGCTTGTTTGATTATTTGTAATTTCTTTGTTTGTTACGGCAGCAAACGGGGAAGCCATTTTTCTCGTAACTTAAGCAAGTTTGGCGTCGCTCGCTCGGAGGAACTGGAGGTGAATCAGTGAATAGCACTGGATATCCGGAGGTTGAGTAGCCAATGAGAGCGCGCGAAAAACACTATCCACTGTTTTAACTTATGTCAAAAAAGCTATAATGCTATCATAACCTGATAAGATTTAATAGTCGAAGAGCTGTAAATTCTTTAGGCATTTGCATTATGATCAATTTGTTACTACCTTTCCTCCGGATATGAGGAAAGGATATTTCACTCTCCTTCCCGTTATCGTTCCAGTGAACCGTGAGAATTCTTGCTTGGAGGCCTCTCTGTTTTTTAGGTGTAATCCGATTGGACCTGGAACAGATGAAAAGTGGGATTGAAAACCTTAGTGAGCAACTGGAAAGTTTGAAAAAAACTGTTCCCAGGGTTGAAGGTCAGTGTAAATTGTAATTGAGGTTGACTAAAAGAAACTAAAATTGATCTGAAACGGAATTAAACAAACGTTTTTGTTTTAATTAAAATATAGACAAAAATAACATTGAAGAATTAAAAAGTATAATAGCAAACTTTATTTAGTTTTTAGGTTGGATACCGAGAGGATTTCTTTCCCCAAAGTTAAAGGTCAGCTCTCAAGGATTAAACCCTCGGTATATAATTTGTTACGATAAATTAAAGATCATTGTTCAAAGGTTTTTTTTTTAACTCATTTCTATTTATTGGAAATTATAAATTAAATTACTAAGAGAAAAATATTGAGAAAAAAGGAAAAAGATAGGTAACTAATAACTGCATTTCCTGAGTTTGAACTCTACTCTCTTCCCCCTCCTCTCACTTTCTTTGTTAATAGATTTTGTAGCAATGAAAGTTAACCAATCTTTCAGTTTAAAGTATGTTGGTGAGGTTCAGGTTTCTTTAGAAGAACATTTTTGTCACAACAGCAAGTCTAGTCCACTTTGTCCTGTTAATTTGCATGCCCAATGATTGAAATTGCTTTTATATTGTTCAAACCTGGGAGGTACATATATCCCTGAAATCCAGTCAAGCCACCTTAAAGTGAGAGCATTCAACAACGACAGATAGGTAGACCTTTTCCTTACTAAAAACTTCTTTTAAATATTTTTTACACTCGCAGACCAGTTTACAAAGACACAGCACTTTGCGGCCAAAGAGGAGGATTTGCCAGGTACTATTATGTGCAATGTGCCATATAATTACTGAATATATTTTTTTCTAGAATGAGGTTATTAATGCTGATTTTAACTACTCTGATGTTTATATAAGCATTGGAATGGAAAAGGATCTTTATTGTGCCTGTCATTCATTTATATTCAAAGATAATAAAGTGGGAATTCAAAATAAAAATTAAGCACTTCAAACCTCAAGACCTTCATTGATCTCTCCATAGAGTTTGGCTCAAATTTTCAATCTTTGTTAACATTCAGAGAGAATTGTAACACACATGAGAGGACGCAGAGGATTTTTACTGGAAGTACAGCACCATGCAGAGTTATAAGCTTTGTGGGCACTTAATCCCATTTATTATTCTCTCAAAATATTTCCCCAATTCTGATTGGGTATAATTGGGCATAATTCATCATAACTAGTTACTGATGACCAAATTTGGAAGAATTTTGTGTTTAACGAGGAAATGACGTCAAAAGTGCAGCACTCTACAGGTTAATGGGCCGTTAACCGAGAGGGCCTGGGGACGAGGTTGAGTTGTTTTCGTTGTCAAAACTAAAATCGCTGACACTTCACTCGTTCAAGAGTAAGAACAGCTGGAACTAGGCGAAATAATGGCTAAAAACATAGCAAAAACAGCAACAAGACAACTCGGAGGGCAACATCTGCTATTTGGAGAATATTTACGGAGCTGGACAAATCTAAACGTAAACTATCAAAGATAAACTTAACATCGATGCAGGTACGCATGTTTTAGCTATGTTTTAAACTAGGAATTATTTTGAATGAATAATAAAGCAATTAATGAATTCGGCTTTCGTAGGATATGAAGAATTAAGCAGATCTCGGAGGGTAACACCCTCCTCGATCTGCTTAAAGGGACGCGATCACGGTTATGCGCATGCGCGCCGTTTATCTCTTTAGAATAAATTTGTTGGGTCAACACAATTCGAAATCGCCATTACCGGTACAATCATTGAAAATCCTTCGTTTTATTCCGACATCCGTCGCTTTGGCTGGCCTAGTTATACTTCGGTAGTGGTGATTAACGTGTGGTTGTGTTGTTTGACTAGTTACGTTTTAAGAAGACGCAAAAAATAATGTTTTGATCATGGAGGTTCAGAAGAGCATCGTGGCCGTCCGGCAACAGGACGTTCTCACGAGTCTTTGGAAATAGAGAAGCTTAACCGATCGATCTGGTATGGTTCTAGGAGTAGTGTGTGGCTTACGAAAAGAATACACGACACTTGGAAAGTGGTTAAAGGCATGAGTTCGTTCAACTTTGATTTGATTTTTGACTCTGACCTGTAGTTATACCACAACAGGCTGCGCGATATTCACCGATCTGGTACACTTGAAATGTTCCTTGTGTCTTTGCTTACGATCGTATATGTTTAAGAATTGATGTTTTAAAATAAATTATTGCCTGAATATTCTGTTTATAATCTAGTTTCTTTAGGTGTTCTACCCGATAACGTTTGTTTTGCAGAACACTGACCCGATGCAATGCGAATGAATTTGTTCATTTGCTGATAAGCAATTGAAATTTATGCTCAATTAAGGATAATCTTTATACTCATACGTTGTGTGTTTTTGTCACCGGTCAGGCGCTATGTGTGGGTATGTCTGGGTTTATTTAAGGCGAACTGAGAGAACAGTAAAATGTTTGTTTACAAATTTTGTTTGCCGATCGGTGACTGCTTTGTTAGCGTGGGTACGACCTCGTAAAAATACACGTTGGTAAATGTTTGTTTCAAAGCAGGACAGGGCTGTAAATCTTATTCTTATCGGCTGCAACATATATCTGAGGAGTAGCAAAGAATAAACTTGAATTATGGGGATATATAAAATCAAACCAAATGCCCGGAAATACTCTCGCGTCGCGAACAATGAATTTGAATTTTGTAAATTTACTTGCGTGCATCTAACTCGGTTCCGATTGGTTTAAAAACAATCAGCTACTGTCAGAACTCGCATGCGCATTATCGTGAACCAGTCCCTTTAATTCTTCATATCCTACTCAGCCACATTCATTAATTGCTAATTAATGTTTCACGCTCCATGAAAGTGCTAACATTTCTGTGTCACGGCGAGACTTTTCAATGTATTAAATTTCAGCATACATTGCAAGATAATCTAAATTTCGCGCCAGAATAATTTTGTTTGCGAGCTTTTAAAGTATAGAGTCATTCGGTTCCCTACAAGGCCCGCGTTGTTTTAACCGGAATACATTGCCTTACCGAGGATCTGGCATTTCACCTCCTCGTAGTTTCTTTTTCTCGGGAATTGTTCATATTTGGACGTTGTTAGAATAGATCAGAATGCATGGTGGATGTTCCCAACAACTAATGCATGCGGCCTAATATCAATGAAGGATGCTGGATTTTTCTCACAGTTAGCGAGCGGAAGGGAAAAAAAACCGACTACTCTGAGGTAAGATTGAAAGTTTTGATTAGTTTCTCGGCGAAAACGCCCGTTCCCCGTGAAGAAATTTATATCGCTGCGACTTTATTATGATGTGACGCTAGCGTGTGCTCAGTAATACCTTAAACCACTATATGACTCCATAAATTCGATTCGCTTTTTCGCAGATCAGTAACTTTCGATAAAGTTCTCTTCGTTTTGTGAAGTGTGATTTATTTCTAAACCCTTTACGGACGGTGCCTTGTTCAATGGTTCATTTGTTTGGCCTCGACGATTCCCGTGAACTTTGAGCTGCCAGACCTAACAAATGCTCTAGAGCTGAATAGCACATTAAGTTCCTATGGTATTAACCTCTTGTGAGAAAAATCCTTGTAATTGCCAACGAGGCAAACGAGCTAAGAAGCGAGGTTGCCTCGGCGGCAGAATTATAACGCCGCGCAATGTAGGCAAAAACTCTCAAATTCTGCGTAACCCTCTAAAATTTGCATTTTTGACCAAATTTGGGTGTAAGTAAGACCTCGTATTTGGGTAGTGAGGTCATGGTCTTGTATTTACAACTCGTGGTCCGAAATTGGGTGATTCAGTGTGCAGCTGTTCGTTGTCTGTTTAAGACGACCTAACGAACGTCTTGTAAAAGGTAAGAGGCATGTGGGAAAGAAAGCTCTGCTAGCACACGGCACTTTATCGCACTTTTACGATCTCAAGAGTTAATCTGAATCTTCAGTATTTTTGCCTCATCGAAATTTGGAAGTCTGAAGTCCAGGGATGAAATCTACCCAAAATATTTGGAATATTAACGTCAGTTTTTGGTCACAATAAGATCACAAGCAACGAACCTTGAAACACAGAAACTCACAAAACGGATCGAAATCCACCGATCACAAATCACGAACAATGACCTTTTGAACCCGTTGAAGAAAACTTTTGTTTCCTAAGAGGTCCGCTAAGATGATTGGCGTCTGACATTTTTTTTGACGAGAGGATCGAAATGCACTAATCATAGAAAGACAGTTTTAATTGCATGTTTCCTAAGAGGTCATCTGAATTTGCTGTTTTATGTCCATTTTCTTTTCCTTATTTTGTGATTGGTCGATTTTGTTAGGTCGAGTGGATAATTCAATGAGGGACGATTTGGATATCGTTTGATGCGAAATTTTTCGAAGCAGCAGTAAGAAGCAGTTTGGATAACGTTTGGCCGCGGCGTTTCGAGGAACGTGTTAATACATTGTTCAATCATGTTATCCCGGGTTAAACTTACAAATGCACACACTGTTCGCGGTAGGCCCACACTAAAAAATAACACTGAGTGTTTTCGGAATGGGCTGGTCCGCGAACTCAAAGAAAAACAAAGGAAATTATCAAGACATTCAATGACATCAAAGACTCATGGACCCCATAGACGTAATATCAAATCGGAATATCAGGAGTGTACGTGTAAAATGGATAAGAGTTTGAACAGAGGAATGTTTAACAAGTTTGCAGGGCTTCAAGTGTCCCTATATTTCCTATATTTCCTATATTTTTAAACTTTCCCTATATTTCCCTGTTTAGTCTGTAAATGCCCTATAATCCCTATAATTCCATCAGAAAATAAAAATAGACTGAAGTTCATGAACTTCTGTTGGGGGAATGTGACAAAGACAGTGAATTTTTCGGACCATCCAAGACAAACTGGAAATAAGTTTATTATTAGTGCATGTAAGTGTACTTAATTTGATGCTGCTGTGATCATGAGCAGTGATTCTTTATTCAGATACTGTTCAGATCTTAGAAGGAGTATGTATGCGGCAACTTTGGGTGCACTCGTTTTTCAAATGGAAGGGGATCGATCAATAATTGGTAGCTTTTAAAGTAGCCAGTAGGAAAATAAGAATTTCCAATCTGTGATGACGTATCTCTAATAATGTGCAAGGTTAAAACTCAGTCTGACAGAACGACTGTACCATTCTCAAGACTAATGTTGCTCCTTTAATTGCAACGGAAGACAAAACCAATGCTGCAAATGATAAGGTTCACGAAGAGAACCAGAACCGTGGTCTTGCCTGATCAGAAAGTGGCACTTTTGATTAACCGAATATTCGCAAGCAAAAGGAATTACATATAGAGACACTGTGCTCCACTCCAAAGATTCGCCTTATCCACGAAAAAGTCGTCGAGTACAATTCTCCGTACTTGGTTTGTTGGTGTAGCTTCGAGTTTAAGCTATAATTCCTTCTTTTAAGTTTGGATCTGTAGATCACTCTTCATGAGAATTCTACATCTTGTAAGAATCTCTAAAACTCTGGGCCCAGCCCAACAAAACATAGCAGGGAGTCATTGCTTAAAGGGACAAAACAACTCTTCATTCAAGCATTTTGGAGCAAACTATAGAAACTAAACCTTTATCAAAAGGTTATTGAGTTGCATTATCAAGGTTAACGTTCAGAAACAAAAACCACCAGAAATCAGTAGGTTTAAAACAAACCAGCTTCAGGCTCTCTCAATGTGAGAAAAACTCCACAGCATGAGCTACCCGCCAGGAAATAAAAAGGGGTTTAAACATGAGGTTAAAGTTGTATAGGCATACCAATTTCACTGTTTCACCTAGAAAGAATTCTAACAATTGCAAAACACAATAACGGCATTTTCACCGTACTTCTTTAGGGTCAGTGTGTGTATTAATCTAGGAACATTTTTTTGCGTGCTCAAAGTTAGTGACCTTATTCTCTACTAGTGTTCACGATGTTGGACTAAAATGTATTGTGTTCCTTACCTTCTGCGGAGTTGCAAAACTGGCACTGGATAAAATACGCTTTAAAAAATCCCTATATTTTCCTTATTATTTTACCATTTTCCCTATATTGGCCCTATATTTTTGAAAAATTGCCACTATATTAAGCCCTATATTTTTGCTTAAGGCCACTTGAAGCCCTGAGTTTGAGAGTCGCAAGATTTGTGTAGCTGGTTATCAGTGTGACAATGGGGAGTTTAAGATACGGCGACTACGGACTACGACTACGGATAAACATGCTACTGCGCATGATCAAAACCACGTGACTGTTCATTTTTCCCGCGTAGTCCTGCGGCTACGGTGAGTTGTTGAGCTGTTCCGCGTAGTCGCGACTACGGAGAACATTTTGCTCGTATTTTGCCGTCCGGTAACTCAAGAATCTCATCTTTTCGTAAAAACGTTTTCAATTCACCTGCTTTAAGTGATAGGGAAGCGAAATATGTAAGTTGTGTCTAATTTCTGCTCAGATTTACGCTTTTAATCGACTGTTGTGATTCAAATCTTTCTAGCTAAGCTCATATTAAGCTCAGATGTTTATACGCAGAATTCAGATTGACGGCGTAGGAGAAGAGAAATCATGCAGGTAATTTACTTTCTCTTCGCACCTGAAAAGTTTCAATGTTTGGTCGAATTGATCATTGTGTCTTTCTTACGTGTGTAACCTTTGTTTATGCGAGTTTTTGAATCGCGCCATTTGCTGAATGAAAATGATGTAAACATCTTCGAGACAATCGAAACTCGGCATTTCAATACTTCAAACTACATCAGATCAGTAGTCGGAGAAGTCCATCCTCTAAATCTAATAAATGAGCTATTACTATTTCTGTCTATATCTTTAATATTTGACATAAGTATTCATGGGCGAAAAAATAAAACCTGTGTAACCAAAACTTTGTTTACCAATTTCACCCGACGTAATTGCTTCCTTCAAGTACGGAAGAATTTGTTCATTGTTCTAAAGATAAGATCACATGCAAAACTGACTTGCATTTTTGTGAACTGTGATGAAAACAAGAAAATATTTGCGTGTTGTCTCCCTCTCCGCCTCTTCTCTCGTAGTCTACAGTCTGTAGTGCAATCTTAACATTCTACATTTGCACGACTCAACCCAGTGCTACGAACAAAGGACAACGCCCGTCCAGCCGTAGTTCGTAGTCCGTAGTCTCCGTATCTTAAACTCCCTAATAGTGATTGTGGAACACAACGAGTTGCCCGTGATAAAAATCTGTTCCCATGAAGGAAGAGACGATTGGCAACAATTGAAATCAAAAGGACTGAGGCTTCTTTTGGAACTATTGTGATAACTGCAACAATTCTTTTTATTATTTCAATTTTGTTTAGCAGGGTGACGGTTAATGTGCTTGTTTTTGTATTGCGTGATGTGTTTTTTCATCTAATTGTGTATATTGTGACGCGGTACATGTACGATGCTGTGCGTTGGGATTTTGCATTATCAGCAAGTTTTGTGTTAGCGTGTTTTAATGGCAGCGAGGTGACGATAAGAGAAGGTAGCTAGTTGTACAGAAGGAAAATTGTGTTGTGGAGGAAATAAAAGAGGTTGAATTGAGATCTCCTCGTGGGAAATTTATTTATAGCAGAACTTACAATTCCATTAGTTTAGATCAGGTTAGTCAATTATATTTTCGGCAAGACAAATTACCATAAAATCGAGATTGTAATTCGAAACTCGCGTTGTTTTCAAAATTTGCATAAAGCGGGCGCTGCAAAGAAACATTTAGGTTACAAGCACTTCGAAATACTGTACCTTCAAAACGGCATAGCTTTTACTTGCTTTGCTATATCTTTCAAAACCATCGATCGATTCTAGCTCAAAAACTCTCAAAGCGGCAGTTTAAATGTTAAAGCCCGTGGCTGGTTGAAATCGTCTCTTGTTTGTTTTCAAACGATTCAGGATGGATCGAATCGACTTTGGATCGATTATTATTTTATCAGCTTGTGGTATGAACGAAACGTTTTTCTTCTCGATAAAGTTCACTCAACAAATTTGGAAAGATTTACTTGACTTTTCATATGTGGAACGAACTGACTATTTATGGTACGATCTGACCATGGAACGAAATGACCGGTTACCGTCATGCACCTAGCAGACTACCGATGAACAAATTAAAATCTTTGTTCAGAAAACACGGAAAGTGACACTTTCGGTACGGAAGAGTATTCGGAAAAATACACCATTGTCGTCTGAAATTCATTGTAATGTTAAAAATAGAAAAGGTTTAAACTTAAACAGGTACAGAAGTAACTGTAACAATGAGACATCCAAATAGGCTTTTAAGTAAGAATTTGCCCCTCTGTTCATGCAATTATCCATGTTATAGTGCTTACAACCGTTTGAATCACCGGGTTAATTTTGGCCAATTTAAGCTTTGTAATGATATAGAGATGAATCCAGGACCTTCAGTTTATGTAGATGCTACAAAAACAATTAATGCTCCATACTGTCATTGTTTTCGGAATGGGCTGGTCCGCGAACTCAAAGAAAAACAAAGGAAATTATCAAGACATTCAATGACATCAAAGACTCATGGACCCCATAGACGTAATATCAAATCGGAATATCAGGAGTGTACGTGTAAAATGGATAAGAGTTTGAACAGAGGAATGTTTAACAAGTTTGCAGGGCTTCAAGTGTCCCTATATTTCCTATATTTCCTATATTTTTAAACTTTCCCTATATTTCCCTGTTTAGTCTGTAAATGCCCTATAATCCCTATAATTCCATCAGAAAATAAAAATAGACTGAAGTTCATGAACTTCTGTTGGGGGAATGTGACAAAGACAGTGAATTTTTCGGACCATCCAAGACAAACTGGAAATAAGTTTATTATTAGTGCATGTAAGTGTACTTAATTTGATGCTGCTGTGATCATGAGCAGTGATTCTTTATTCAGATACTGTTCAGATCTTAGAAGGAGTATGTATGCGGCAACTTTGGGTGCACTCGTTTTTCAAATGGAAGGGGATCGATCAATAATTGGTAGCTTTTAAAGTAGCCAGTAGGAAAATAAGAATTTCCAATCTGTGATGACGTATCTCTAATAATGTGCAAGGTTAAAACTCAGTCTGACAGAACGACTGTACCATTCTCAAGACTAATGTTGCTCCTTTAATTGCAACGGAAGACAAAACCAATGCTGCAAATGATAAGGTTCACGAAGAGAACCAGAACCGTGGTCTTGCCTGATCAGAAAGTGGCACTTTTGATTAACCGAATATTCGCAAGCAAAAGGAATTACATATAGAGACACTGTGCTCCACTCCAAAGATTCGCCTTATCCACGAAAAAGTCGTCGAGTACAATTCTCCGTACTTGGTTTGTTGGTGTAGCTTCGAGTTTAAGCTATAATTCCTTCTTTTAAGTTTGGATCTGTAGATCACTCTTCATGAGAATTCTACATCTTGTAAGAATCTCTAAAACTCTGGGCCCAGCCCAACAAAACATAGCAGGGAGTCATTGCTTAAAGGGACAAAACAACTCTTCATTCAAGCATTTTGGAGCAAACTATAGAAACTAAACCTTTATCAAAAGGTTATTGAGTTGCATTATCAAGGTTAACGTTCAGAAACAAAAACCACCAGAAATCAGTAGGTTTAAAACAAACCAGCTTCAGGCTCTCTCAATGTGAGAAAAACTCCACAGCATGAGCTACCCGCCAGGAAATAAAAAGGGGTTTAAACATGAGGTTAAAGTTGTATAGGCATACCAATTTCACTGTTTCACCTAGAAAGAATTCTAACAATTGCAAAACACAATAACGGCATTTTCACCGTACTTCTTTAGGGTCAGTGTGTGTATTAATCTAGGAACATTTTTTTGCGTGCTCAAAGTTAGTGACCTTATTCTCTACTAGTGTTCACGATGTTGGACTAAAATGTATTGTGTTCCTTACCTTCTGCGGAGTTGCAAAACTGGCACTGGATAAAATACGCTTTAAAAAATCCCTATATTTTCCTTATTATTTTACCATTTTCCCTATATTGGCCCTATATTTTTGAAAAATTGCCACTATATTAAGCCCTATATTTTTGCTTAAGGCCACTTGAAGCCCTGAGTTTGAGAGTCGCAAGATTTGTGTAGCTGGTTATCAGTGTGACAATGGGGAGTTTAAGATACGGCGACTACGGACTACGACTACGGATAAACATGCTACTGCGCATGATCAAAACCACGTGACTGTTCATTTTTCCCGCGTAGTCCTGCGGCTACGGTGAGTTGTTGAGCTGTTCCGCGTAGTCGCGACTACGGAGAACATTTTGCTCGTATTTTGCCGTCCGGTAACTCAAGAATCTCATCTTTTCGTAAAAACGTTTTCAATTCACCTGCTTTAAGTGATAGGGAAGCGAAATATGTAAGTTGTGTCTAATTTCTGCTCAGATTTACGCTTTTAATCGACTGTTGTGATTCAAATCTTTCTAGCTAAGCTCATATTAAGCTCAGATGTTTATACGCAGAATTCAGATTGACGGCGTAGGAGAAGAGAAATCATGCAGGTAATTTACTTTCTCTTCGCACCTGAAAAGTTTCAATGTTTGGTCGAATTGATCATTGTGTCTTTCTTACGTGTGTAACCTTTGTTTATGCGAGTTTTTGAATCGCGCCATTTGCTGAATGAAAATGATGTAAACATCTTCGAGACAATCGAAACTCGGCATTTCAATACTTCAAACTACATCAGATCAGTAGTCGGAGAAGTCCATCCTCTAAATCTAATAAATGAGCTATTACTATTTCTGTCTATATCTTTAATATTTGACATAAGTATTCATGGGCGAAAAAATAAAACCTGTGTAACCAAAACTTTGTTTACCAATTTCACCCGACGTAATTGCTTCCTTCAAGTACGGAAGAATTTGTTCATTGTTCTAAAGATAAGATCACATGCAAAACTGACTTGCATTTTTGTGAACTGTGATGAAAACAAGAAAATATTTGCGTGTTGTCTCCCTCTCCGCCTCTTCTCTCGTAGTCTACAGTCTGTAGTGCAATCTTAACATTCTACATTTGCACGACTCAACCCAGTGCTACGAACAAAGGACAACGCCCGTCCAGCCGTAGTTCGTAGTCCGTAGTCTCCGTATCTTAAACTCCCTAATAGTGATTGTGGAACACAACGAGTTGCCCGTGATAAAAATCTGTTCCCATGAAGGAAGAGACGATTGGCAACAATTGAAATCAAAAGGACTGAGGCTTCTTTTGGAACTATTGTGATAACTGCAACAATTCTTTTTATTATTTCAATTTTGTTTAGCAGGGTGACGGTTAATGTGCTTGTTTTTGTATTGCGTGATGTGTTTTTTCATCTAATTGTGTATATTGTGACGCGGTACATGTACGATGCTGTGCGTTGGGATTTTGCATTATCAGCAAGTTTTGTGTTAGCGTGTTTTAATGGCAGCGAGGTGACGATAAGAGAAGGTAGCTAGTTGTACAGAAGGAAAATTGTGTTGTGGAGGAAATAAAAGAGGTTGAATTGAGATCTCCTCGTGGGAAATTTATTTATAGCAGAACTTACAATTCCATTAGTTTAGATCAGGTTAGTCAATTATATTTTCGGCAAGACAAATTACCATAAAATCGAGATTGTAATTCGAAACTCGCGTTGTTTTCAAAATTTGCATAAAGCGGGCGCTGCAAAGAAACATTTAGGTTACAAGCACTTCGAAATACTGTACCTTCAAAACGGCATAGCTTTTACTTGCTTTGCTATATCTTTCAAAACCATCGATCGATTCTAGCTCAAAAACTCTCAAAGCGGCAGTTTAAATGTTAAAGCCCGTGGCTGGTTGAAATCGTCTCTTGTTTGTTTTCAAACGATTCAGGATGGATCGAATCGACTTTGGATCGATTATTATTTTATCAGCTTGTGGTATGAACGAAACGTTTTTCTTCTCGATAAAGTTCACTCAACAAATTTGGAAAGATTTACTTGACTTTTCATATGTGGAACGAACTGACTATTTATGGTACGATCTGACCATGGAACGAAATGACCGGTTACCGTCATGCACCTAGCAGACTACCGATGAACAAATTAAAATCTTTGTTCAGAAAACACGGAAAGTGACACTTTCGGTACGGAAGAGTATTCGGAAAAATACACCATTGTCGTCTGAAATTCATTGTAATGTTAAAAATAGAAAAGGTTTAAACTTAAACAGGTACAGAAGTAACTGTAACAATGAGACATCCAAATAGGCTTTTAAGTAAGAATTTGCCCCTCTGTTCATGCAATTATCCATGTTATAGTGCTTACAACCGTTTGAATCACCGGGTTAATTTTGGTCAATTTAAGCTTTGTAATGATATAGAGATGAATCCAGGACCTTCAGTTTATGTAGATGCTACAAAAACAATTAATGCTCCATACTGTCAAGGAAATGTTACACTATTTGGGGAAAATGCTGGACAACAATGTGTCGCAATGAGTCTGTCCTCTTTAATTTACAGTAAGATAACAAAGATTACTTCAGTTGATGATATGACTCAAATAATGATTGTTGGTATTCAATTATATTCTAGTCTGTCACCGCTTGCAAGACAATCTATGTTAATGTTAACAGAATTGCTAGGAATGGTTACAGTGTTTGAGCAATTTTTCAACCTTGAATACAGTGACAGTTATACTTGTAACATCCATCACTACTGTATCACCACTCACAGGGTACTGCATCTGGAACACTCTTGGCACTGAATTTCGAACTACAACTCATTCATTTTAACGGTGGCAATTATTGGTGTTGGTATCTACTGTAATGTTATTGAGAGGCGAAACAGGCTAGAACACAACAGCTTTAATCGAGCTCGTACAAGTACAAGGAGCACATGGTAAAACAGCCCGCCCGCTCAGACTAATGGGACATCTAAAGCAATTACATCACATCTCCCCTCTAAGTCGGAAACAAACGTTTGTTATATGCAAACAAAGTAAAGTTCAGAGTCTCTAATCTTTAAAACGTTCTGGGAGTCTTATCTCGCGACCACTTCGCGTGGTCCTCCTAGGAGTAGTAGATGTCGGGGTCTGGATAGGCCGGTGATCTTAATACTGGGCAAGGCTTGATCAGGAACTGCACTGTCTCTCTGGTTTCCTGCTTCAGGTGGGTCTGGTAGGAGGTTCAGGTGGCGTCTATTTCTCCTCAGCTCGCCATTTGGGGTCTCTACTGTGTAAGACCGTGGGGTGCCAACTTTGTACAAAACTGTCCCTTCGACCCTCCGGTCCGGTAACCAAACACGTTCTCCAGGGGAAAGGTCTGAGAGGTTCTTTGCAAAGTGGCGCTTGTCAAAGTTCTTCTTTTGTCTAGCTTTGAGGGAAGCATCTTTTTCTCGGAACTGCTCCAAGTAATGCCAACTGGGGATTAGCTGCGCTGGAACAGTAGGGACTTGAGTACGGATTTTTCTTCCCATTAACAATTCTGCTGGGCAGAGTCCACTCTCAAGGGGTGTGGCACGGTATGCCAAGAGAGCTTTGTAAGGATCTTGAGCTTTCTTAAGCAGGTGTTTCACTGTTTGAACTGCGCGTTCCACTTCACCATTCGCTTGTGGATACCTCGGGCTGGTCGTAATGTGGGTAAATGCATACTCTTCGGCGAACTGGGCGAATGCGTTTGACGAAAACTGCGGGCCGTTATCTGACACAAGTTGGTCCGGTATACCATGTCTTGCGAACATAGATTTCAGATGTACCACTATATCCGGTGAAGTTGTACGGGTTAGCTTAGCAACTTCAACATAACGCGAGAAGTAATCAACAACAAGCAGAAAGGTTTGACCTTTCAGTTCAAATAAGTCTGCGGCAAGTTTCTGCCAAGGGCGATCGGGTAGTTCCGATGGGATCACTGGCTCGGGTCTGTTTACACGCTCTTTGATGCACGTGGAACAGTTGTTCACCAGTTCCTCGAGTTGTTTGCTCAGGCCTGGCCACCAAACTGATGTTTTGGCTCTCTCTCTGCATTTAGTAATGCCTTGATGGCCCTCATGTAACTTATCTAGGACATCAAGTCGCATAGACACAGGAATCACCAGTCGGTTGCCTTTCATTAATAAGCCTTGCTGCACTGTCAGGTCACCTCTCTCTTGCCAGTAGGCTTTAAGTGGAGTAGGAAGATGGGATTTCTCTGGCCAGCCATCAGAACAATAGGTGATGAGTTGCTTAGTAACTTCATCTTGCTGTTGCTGGGACCTCAGCTCCTCAAGTCGATCTTCAGTAGCAGGTAAGTGCTTTATAACTGAGTCAACATAGGCTTTGACATCATCAGTCAACTTTTCTTCTTCTTGGTTCAATGGTCTAACAATGGGGGCTCGTGACAGAGCGTCTGCAGTGCAGAGGTCTTTACCAGGTACATGGCTGATAGTGTACGTGAAGCGCATCATTCGCATTCTGAATCGCTGTATTCTGGCGGGGAGATCCTCAAGACTCTTGGAACCGAGCAATGACACTAAGGGCTTGTGGTCTGTTTCGATGTGGAATTTGAGTCCAATCAGGTAGTCTGCAAAGCGTTCACTTGCCCAAGTTATGCCCAAAGCTTCTTTTTCTATCTGCGCATAACGCTGTTCTGTGGGGCTCATAGCTCGTGAGGCGTATGCAACAGGGCGCCATTGGTCATTTTCTTGCTTCTGCAATAATACAGCTCCCAGGCCATAGGATGATGCGTCACTTGAAAGTGTTGTTGCCCGATGTGCATCATAGTGAGCTAGGGTGGGTGTAGATGCAAGGCTCTGTTTCAGGGCTGAGAAGGCCTGCTGTTGTGCGTCACCCCAAGACCAGTGGTTTTTCGAACTCAGGAGGTCTCTCAGTGGTTTAGAAAGCTCTGCTATTCGTGGCTGATATTTGCTCAACTGGTTAACCATGCCTAGGAATCTTCTTAGACCTGACTGATCCTTGGGGGTTTCCATCTCCAGTATCGCTTCTACTTTCTTGGGGTTAACACGTACTCCTTCGGAATCAATGATGCTGCCTAAATACTCGACTGAAGGTTTTGAAAACTCGCACTTCTCTTCATTCAGAGTGAGGTTAGCCTCTTGGAGCTTGTGAAGAGTTGCTTCCAGGTGTTTATCATGTTCTTCAGTCGTTCTGCCAAAGACTAGAATATCATCCATCTGACAAAGGGCACCATCAGTTCCTTCCAGAACTTGTGAGATCCGTTTTTGGAAATGTTCAGGGGCTGAACTTATCCCAAAGGGTAGGCGGTTGAAGCAGATTCTCCCAAATGGAGTGATAAAAGTGGTAAGTTTTGCTGACTCAGGTGATAAACCAATTTGCCAGAATCCTGAATTTGCATCCAGCTTGCTAAACACGGTCGCTCCAGATAGTTGGGCTAGGGTGTGGTCTACACTAGGCAGCGGGTGGAACTCCCTCAGGATGCTCTCATTGAGGTTTGTTACATCAACACAGATGCGTACTTTCCCATTAGCTTTTGGTACAACTACCATTCCAGCACACCATTCAGTTGGTTCATCTACCTTGGAAATGATTTGCATTTGTTCCATCCGGGAAAGTTCTTCTTTGACCTTTGTAAGAAGGGGTACGGGAACTCTCCTGGGAGTACTGAGTGCGAATGGTTTGGCCTCGGGTTTCAGCTTTATGACGTAGTCAGGACCTCGAAGTTTTCCAAGTCCAGTGAAAAGTCCTGGAAACTTTGCATTGAGGTTTGTGGCTTCCACAGCATCAACCTTTTGTACTATGGCAAGAGTTTCTATAGCTGGACGACCAAGCAGGGCGTTGCGGGCACCGTTCACTACAAATATCTCCTGCTCCGTTGTTTTGTCTCCTTTCTGGATTTTTCCCACAAAACATCCACGCACAGGGAGTGAAGTATGAGCTGGACCAAACAATGTCTTGCTTGATTTTACGAGGGTTGGAGTCGGTCGTAGCGCTTCGTAGATCTTATCAGGGATTACGGTCACGTCAGCTCCAGTGTCAATCTTGAAGCGAACTTCTGCGTTATTAAGCATTAGATCTACTGACCAAAAGGTGTTGTTCGTTTCAGTTCCTATTTCACCAAGAAACAAATTTTCATCTTCTTCCACTTCGCCAACCGTTTTGGACGATTTACAGACAGTTTCCCAGTGGCCTCTCTTTGAGCACTTGAAACAAGTTGCGTCTTTAGCTGGGCAGTTCGCTCGCTTGTGAGGCGGGAGATTTCCGCAGCGTTCGCAGCGTGTCGAAGAAGGCTGAGAAGGCGGTTTCTTTAGCGGTGTTTTCTTAGGTTTCGGCCCATTTTCATCCTTGAGTTTCGGAGGGTTCTTTCGTGTTACCTTGACCGCGTCGACGTTTTTCTTTACATCTTCAGAATCCTTGAAGTCGTTTCTCAAAAGGGCTTGTTGCTTCTTTACAGCTTCGCTTTGTCGAGCATGATTGATCGCTTTAGCCAGAGATAATTCCGGGTCAAGTTGGAGTTTCTCCGATAATTTTGAGTCTTGAAGGCCCACCACAATTCGGTCTCGGATCATCTCGTCCTTTAGGGTTCCGTAATCGCAGTATTCAGCGAGTGCGTGCAGCGCTGTAATAAATGTGTCAACAGTCTCGCCATCTTCTTGGCGGCGCCGATTGAACTTTGCTCGCTCAAAAATAACATTTCGGCGAACCACAAAGTGTTCATCAAACTTCGTTTTAACGGTGTGATATTGTTTCTGCTGCGACGTGGAAAGTTTGAAGGAGGTCAAAATATCGTCTGCTTGATCTCCCATAGCGTAGATCAGCGTGTTTATTTGGCTCTCTTCTTCTTCTTTCGCCAGGCCAGACGCTTGGCGGAAACGTTCAAATCTTCGGCTCCATTTCGGCCACTCTTCTTGACGACTGAAATCAAACTTTTCCGGTAGCTGGACTCGGAAAGATGTCATGGTTCGTCGATCCCGCTTCTGACACCATGTAATGTTATTGAGAGGCGAAACAGGCTAGAACACAACAGCTTTAATCGAGCTCGTACAAGTACAAGGAGCACATGGTAAAACAGCCCGCCCGCTCAGACTAATGGGACATCTAAAGCGATTACATCACGTCTACAGCATTGAGGCTGGGGGATATAATGTATTTGATTCTCATGCTAGAGATATGTATCATAACAGTCATAGTGAAAAGACATGTGTATTGTTGGAAATACCATCCATGCATAAATTAGTAAAATATTTTCAGACTCTACATAGGAATGAGGATGTATATGAACTTAAAGGTGTACATATTGCCACCTTTGAACCTCATCTTTTCTCAAGCAATGTTGAACATTGTAGTATATCAAATGTTAATAGTTACCAATGTTCCTGGAAACAGAGCTGCCCTATATGTTTATGCAATGTGTTTATGCATATATGTTTATATGTTTATGCAATGTGTTACTCTCTTATTAATCCTTGTGGATACTGGACTTAAGGAACTTTATTTGCCCTTGTTAGTAACCGGAATACACTGTACAATGTGATGGTTGTGAAAACACATCTGTCAGTATCAGTGGAGCTTAGATAAACCTTACTCTCCGGGCTGTAACCACTTATGTCCTATGTTGCAATTTGGCTCCAAGCATGTCTGCATTGAGGATGTGCATATTTTCAAACATTGTCAAACACTATTTTTGTTGTGGATTGGGACATACTTTATAAGCTGTGTGGTTCAGCAAACAAGTGGAGTAAAGGATTTGTCTTCTCTGGTAAGATATGATGACAGTTCTTTAGCTGCAATAAGGCATGTTCAAACTATCATACCCCTAGTACGACCACGCCCAAATATACGCTCCCACAGCGTCTTGTTCTTATGTATATCACCACGCGAAATATTTTTCTTATGCACGATGAAGCTGTTGCTCGAACTTTAATAATCGTTTTTAATTTCAGCAGTCAAAGGCCTCATTTGAACTATATTTTTCTTTCTAACGTTTATAGTTTTGATACAATTAATGGAATTTTCCATGAAACACAAGTGCTAACTTGCTCATATTTACCAACAAAGCTTCAAGCCATGTTGTTGTTGTTTAATGAAAGTGAAAGCCTAGAATGTGCCAAAGTTGTTGTTTGGAAGTTGGGTGCCATCCTTTTCTATAGCGGAATCCATTTTAAACCACTAAAATTATGAAAGAAATCGCGGAGATCTCAATAGGCACATTCCACCAAAAATAAACGAATTCGCCTCATTGGCACCTTCCGGAAGGTACCCCTAGTTTAACATTTTAATATTCTACGTGAGAAAACTTGGCCAAATCTAGAGCCGGAATTAGTAGAATGTTGACACACAAGCGTAAAGAATGATTAAGCTATGGGAGAGGTGCTAGATCGCAATATGTTCGTGTTCCCCTGTGCGTGTATTTTTCGCGGAAAGTCAGACCTTTTCAATCCTAACTAAAATACTCTTCTAGTTTTGAACCGGCTTAGGTCCCAATCCTGAGTTAATTTTCAATGGACACGAAGCTTGATTTTGGGCGCGAGGTTCAACAGAGACGGCTGTGGCCATTATTTGAAGCGCAAGACGATCACAAGCTTTTTTAAAACTGTCAGTGAGAAAGTAATTCTCCTGTTCCTAGTCTAGATCTAACTTCCTTTTCGAACTGGCGGACGGCGCGTCCCATACAGTTCGGTGTAACATATCCTACTCCAGTTTCCAGTCTAAACTAACTTCCTTTTCGAACTGGCGGACGGCGCGTCCTATACAGTTCGGTGTAACATATTCTACTCCTGTTCCTAGTTTAAAACTAACTTCCTTTTTCGACCTGGTGGACGGCGCGTCCCATACAGTTCGATGCAACATATTCTACTCATGTTGCCTGTTTAAAACTAACTTCTTTCAATTTTCTGGCTGGTGGACGGTCCGTCAGGAATTTTATTGTATCAATACTGACTCGTGCGATTTTCATGCCGGGTTCATCTTCGATAGTACACATTTAAGGTTGTTCATCGATGCGGCGTTAAAACATCGCATCGATGGAGGTAAACATGTTTTAGCTATGTTTTTAAACTAGGAATTATTTTGAATGAGTAATAAAACAATTATTGAATTCGGCTTTCGTATCATATAAAGAATTACTTCATCTCCGATAGTGCACGTTTAGCGTTGTTCAGCTCCGGAAATATTCTCCAGATAGCAGATGTCACCCTTCGAGTTGTCATTTTGCTTTTCTTGCCATGTTTTTAGCCATTATTTCGCCTAGTTCTTACTCTTGAAACGAGTGAAATGTCCGCCATTTTTGTTTTCACAACCAAAACAACTCAACCTCGTCCACAGGTCTTCTCGGTTAACGGTGCATTAACCAGCAAGGAAGCTGCACTTTTGACGTCATCGGTTGATTAATCGCAAAATTCTTCCAAATTTGGTTATCAGTAGCTGGTTAAGGTGAATTATGCGTATGCTTTTAGCTAATCAGAATAGAGGAAATGTTTTGAATGAAAAATAAATAAAATTAAGGGCCTATTTACGTGATAGGTGAGTTGACCATTAGCCTCCCCAGAGGTGTTTTTAGGGGAGCTCGTCTTTCATCCCTCCCCACAAACGCCTGCTCAACCGAAGACAACATTCCTTTCCTACGCTTAGCTGATCACATTGTACTTTCCAAATTCTGGAACGTTTACATTGACCGCAGGGTAATCTGATAATTACTCGATCAGCATGAAACACTGGGAAAACTTTCTGACCTCTAATAAATGTTAGATTCAGAGCGGCAAGAGTAAGATTTAATCAAATTTTAGAATACTCCATGCACTGCATAACCTTAGCGAAGGAATGAAAAGAAGGAAAACGGTAACTCTAGGGTCACGTTTTAGTGGTGTTTAGGCTGTCAACACTTTATTTCACAGCTGTTGATTGGTCACTTACCACGCAAATAAGACAATGGGTAAGGAATTTGTTTTCGGTTGAGCAGGCGTTTGTGTACCCTGGGTACCAGAGGTTTTTCTCGCGTGCGGCGGCAATTTTCGGTGTTGGCCGAAGGCCGAAGCCGCGAGGTCACTATAAAGACTTGACAGAAACTGGAGACCGCACTAGAACAGTCTCTGGCACCCAGGGTAGCGTTTGTGGGGAGAGATGAAAGACAAGCTCCCCTAAAAACGCCTGTGTGGGAGGGTATAATAATGGTCACAATTCTTGAAACACTTGTGTGATTTTCACCTTTCCCAATGTTGATTTGGGCATTGCAGTCATCCCAGTGCTCCAAAATACGCGTGGCTGAACATTGGGGAAGGAGAGGGGCACATTTGAGTGAGAACAAAGGTGTGAAGAGTGAATGTAAGATATTTGGAGAAAATTCAAGAAAAATGGCTTCTGTTTCAACGATTTGTGACGAGTATTGTAGGTGACCATATGTGAAATTATATTATGACAGGTGGTTACCCCACCGAAGCGGGTCACCTCACCTACCTAGCGTCCCGCTTCTCCATGTAAACAGGCCCTTAGCTAATTAAAGCTAATGACAAAAAAAAACAATACCAATAATAAGAATAATAATATTACTAATAAATAACAATACAGGGTGCCTGCTTTCCCTGAATCCCGTGCAAAATGGTTATCGTCCATATTTTTAAAGGAAATCAATTGCACCCGAATTTAAAGTAGGAAAGAGTTCGCGCTTGTGGCAGCTCGACAGGCAATCTATTCCACAGCACTGGACCTTTAAGATTGAAACACTTTTTGACATAATTGTTACGGGGCAGTGGAATAGCTAGCTTGCGTGTCCTCGGAATCCCGACTAAGAACAAAATAGAGATTTCATTACGATAGGAAGACAAAGAATGCAAATATTGCGGGGGGAGGGGGGGGTCATCTAAACACTTGTATACCATAGCCGCACTTTGAATTTTCCGTTGAGTCTCCAGCTTTTTCTAGCCCAAAGATATGAAAAGATCGTCATCGGTGGTATAATAAGGAGAGAAGGTCAAGAAAGGGGCGGCGAGGGTTTTGAAGTTTTTGTGTTTCAGTTGCAAGGGATTTATTACAACTCCTTCAATAATGGTTGCAGCAAGGCGCTATTTACATGTATAGTTAACAGTACTGACTTCAAATATAACGAATGGTCTAGTTTTCTTCAAGACATCAATGCCAGAAGCAATGTTTTTTGTGTCTTTATCAATAAATATGCATATTTCATAACAAATTCTCATTAATATAAACACCAAGAGATTTGGTACATACAACTTGAGTTATAGAGACATTATTTGACTGATAGCCTTTAACCTTTGCCCAGACCCAAATAACATGAACTCTGTTTTTGACTTACTTAGAGTGAGATTATTAGCAATAAAGCCACCCAGTTACGAGTACGTTACGTCACTGGTGACGTCACTTCGTATCGTGTTCTGTATACTGATATCACTGGTGACGCCACTCTTTGGTTTGATAATTCGATACGAAGTGACGTCACCGGTGACTTGGTATATAGTGCACCAGCCACGTGCCACATCGCATTACTACGGACAAAAGTTTCGTGCGCATTGTCTGCAAAAATCCAGCCGAAATGTTAGCCATTTAAGGGAGCAGCATATCATATCACCTTCTACGGTTCTACTTCTGTGGGGGAAGAATAATAGAAAAGATCATTAATTAATCGTGAGAAAATACAATACATGGCATTTGCCAGTGTTTGTCGCGTGAATCGCCCCCGTTGTGTTGTGAAAACGCAGTGTTTATAAATCTCTGGTTCTCCCTGGCTCGCTTTCACCGCCCAGCTGCCAGTTTGGATTAAGGTATATACACTGTAGCTCTGTTAAAGGAAAGAGGCGAGCTAGGAGTTTGCTAGGAGTTAGGAGAAAGTCAAAGAGGACATTCACAATAAAGGTATTTTTCTTCACACTGTCCTTTTCTTATTCCTTATGGTGAAGACGGGGCAAATTTTTTTATTTCAAAAAAGGAAGGCTTTTTACTCACGTTTAATAGATGATCATTTTCGTTATTCTCCCGAACAGAAGTAGGATCATAAAAGGTGGAATGATCAGTTGCATGCTCACTAGCCGGTTCACAGACCCCCTAGCAGGCGTGATAACATAAAAACAGCGGGGGAATTAAATGACCGTTAGCGCAAGGGGTTAAGGCTGGGGGAAGAAGAAAAGATTTTTTCTTTCTCGCCTTCCGCCCTCGTTGTTGCGCTTTGCGCTCGCTCTCGCGTTCTCGACGATTGTCGAAAAGAAAAACGAAGAAATGTCTGTGTACGGGCTACAAGCTCACTGCAAGGGCTTATATTTTGTTCGTTTAGTTTTACTCTTTAAGTGCTCTCACCTACCTAAATTTGTGAATCTTATGAAATTACAAATGAGTAATCCCTTTAAAAATTATTGTCAACAGATTCATTACTCCTTGAAGAGAGCCAGAAACAGCTGCGATCTATTTATAACACTATCAATAAAGTAAAAATCGTTCCGTGGGACCAAAGCTCCGCCGTTCATATTGATGACGTGTACACAAAGCTCTCTTGGCTTAAGGACAAAAAGAAGCCTGGAGGATTAAAACAACGGAAACTTGACCACTACACGGATATTTTTGGAAGTGGAAAACTTCATCCTACACCAAAGCGCATTTTGGTACACGGGCGACCAGGCATTGGCAAGACTGTTTTTACACAAAAAGCTACATTTGACTGGTCCCAGCACAGATTTGGAGGAAAATTAGGAAGATTTGATCTCGTACTTCTGGTCAAGTTACGCGATGTTTGCAATCTACAAGACGTTCCAGCCATTCTACGGGCTGCTCAACTTCTTGCGAGTGACGACCGAGTTTCCACTGACAACCTGTATGATTATGTTCGCCGCCACCAAGAAAAAGTCTTGCTAATTTTGGACGGTTATGATGAATACGTACACATTGCAGGAGACCAGTCACCCATTCGTCAAATTTGGGAAAAAAAACAGTTAAGAGATTGCTGTGTTGTAATAACGTCCAGAGATATGAAGGCAGAGGGCTTAAAACAATTCAGTGACGCTCAATTTGAAATACATGGCTTCGACCGAAGGCGACAAAAAGAGTTCGCCCTTAGATTTTTGAAAGATGATCAAGATGTCAAAAAGTTTTTTAAATACTTGGAGCAACAAGACCTGAAAGAAGTGGCAAAAGTGCCTCTTCTGCTCCTGATGCTTTGCTTAGTTTGGAAGGAGAAAGACTTTGAAGGACTACCATCATCACGGGCCATGATATTTTTTCAATTTATTCAGACTTTGCTCAATCACTTATCAGAAAAAGAAGCTCCCGCAGTACCATTTAGACAAGTAGACGAATACAAAGACGAACTCTGTAAAGTAGGAGAAATAGCCTTTGACTCTCTTATACAGGACTGTGTTTGTTTTCCCATCAATGAGTTGCCAGATCACGTTTTAACTAATAAACTGATTGATGTTGGATTGTTTCAGTTACTTAACATATCTGCTCTGAACCCTTCCAAAGGTGTGTACTTCATTCATAAATCCCTGCAGGAGTTTATGGCTTCTTTGTTCCTAAAAGATGAACTTTTATCTCATGGGTCTTACAGTAACTCCTTATTCAAAGTCAACTCAATGGAAAAGGTATTTAAGATGGGCGAAGTGTTGAAATTTGCTGCCGAGATGTCAGAAGAAGTTGCGAGCAAGATTTTAATTCATCTGTTAGGGATGGTGGTAAAGGAAGCTGTAATGACAGAGTACAGGTTCGACAAGGAAACACCTTCGGAAAAGGATTTGTCACTTGAACAAAGAAATTTTCTAAAGCTTTGTACAGAGTTTTTCTTCTGCTGCTCACCAGACACAAGAACAGAACTTTTTCCTGCATTTCTTTCCAATCTAGGAGGTGTTGTGTTAATCAATCCCAAACAGCTGAATATTGCTGCAAATGAACATTTTGTTAAAACTACGGCTCCACTTAGATATATTTTCTTTTCTTATAGCGACCATTATACAGAGCAAAGCTATCGTAACCTAATTTCGATAACCCGGCAGTTAAGCGCTGTTATTGGTAGCAGCTCAGGAGAAAAGAAAGCATCAGAATTCTTAGATAGTTTTCCATGGCGTAGTGTACACGAATTCTTTTTAATGAAAAAAGTCAATACCTACCTTTATTTTTCTAAAATTGTGACTCCTTTTCCATGTGAAATCATAAAGGCACTAATATCAAAGGAGTCAGCAAAGAACGCAAACATAACATCTAGAAAATCTCATGATCTCGAAGTCTGCTTTGACACTGCAAGCAGCAACAGATTGAATTCAACACAGCATGCTTTGTCAAGGGTTCGGACGATTGAGGCTGATGGACTAGACATTTCAGAACTGGAACTTCTGAATGATGTGCTCCCTATTGTTACTGCGCCACAAAAGATATGGCTTTGGGGTAAAGCAGGTCAAGCGTTTTCTGCACAGGTGACAGAAACTCTCCTGCGGAAAATTAACTGTACATACAAGCTCAAGATATTATCACTTAGTCGCATTAACGTCACCTCACAGACCGCTTGTTTCGTCGCTGCATTATTGCAAAAGGCACCTTACTTGGTGGGACTCGACATGTCATCCAACCCTCTAGGTGCAGGAGTCAGCTCCATAACTCAACAACTGAGCTGCACGCCTCACCTGGAGATATTGCGCTTTCGCCAAGTTATGATGACCAAACACCAAGTACAAGAGTTATCAGCAGCAGTTAAGCAGAGCAAAATATCTTCTTTAGACACAAACTACCACGTAAGTTTTCAAAATTGGTTAAGAAAATTTATCCTTTCCATTTACAGTTTATGAACAGTATACTCATCTTTTGCCTTTCTTAGTTTACCTTTTATCATTTTTATACTCTTCAAAAGACGAGAATGTGTTTTTTAAACAAAAAGCCTTAGCAAATTTAAATAGCCTGAAGATATAACCTGGAAAACCCAGAAAACTTAATCGTTCTGGCAAAGATCAGCCCTAAAAATCAAAGGCTTCCAGAATATTGATTTCACTTAAACTTTCAGAGAACATTACAAGTATTCTTATAAAGTACTTTCCTTTTCCAAACCTATCATAATAATTCAATAACAGCCATTATCGTCTCTGTTTTTAGTCTCTGGTACACCTTCCAATGGATCTAAGATGCTGCGTTATCGTGCCTTTGAATGTACTCATTCTTGGCAAGTTCTGGTCAGCCAAAATATTATTCTGTCGCCAGATTCGTAAATTTTGATACAAATCAGTTCTGCCCAATGGCTTGTGCCATCTTTGATAATGTTGCTGTGATGGAAACTTGTTGCTAGACTTTATTATCCGATAAAACACAGGGCTTTTTCCCCAAAGAAACAAAACTCTCTCATACCAAGCGTCAATCCAAAACCAATACAAAGTGAAAAATTGAATTTGATATTTAAACTCAACTTAGGCGGTTAAAAGAAATACAGAAATACCTGTATGGTAGTTTGAAAGCCATAAGTGTTGTTCTGTTACTCGTTACAGGAATTTGACGGAAACACCAAACCTGAACATGATTGGCCATCACAACAGTATTGGAAGCGGCGCTACCCTCACCTCATTCCCTTTAAATCGTCCGAATCAGATAACAAACAAGAACAGGTATGTAGATCACTTCTTTCTTTAACTTTAACTACTTATTTCATTCTATTTCTATCATGAACAAAGTTAACAAGTTCACTAGCTCAACAACTCTGTTTTTACAATTCAGCACCAAAAGCAAGTAATTAAGGGCAAAAGGTAATCAAGTGCGAACAGAGTGGAAGGCAAACTCTGGTCGTCTTGTAAACAGTTGCAAATTTCTTAAATTACATTTTGGTATAAGCAGATGACGTCAAATTGGTACCAGATCAAGACCAAGAAATTTTAAATTTTGTTGCACTGCTTGAAACAATTCAAACTTAATCATAACGACATCAAAGTAGTTACAGACCATTTTTCTTTTGAATAATCTAAGATTGAAGAACTCTTTTAAGTATTAAAACGAGTACGTACTTTGTTAAGCAAGCACGAGATTGTGGCTTTCTGCATTTTCGCAAAACATGCTTTGCCCTTACACCAAAGAGCTCCTTTATAATTAGCCCACGTTCCTTTGACCACCCTCCTAGCACGACAATGACGATATTAGACTGCTCGAGATGGTAATTAGCTTGGGTTTTGACTCCTCAGTTCCCGTTGCAGAGGACGGGGCTGTATTCTCCTCATCCTTCCTGTCGTCATTCTGCACCTACGAACAACTCATCTCTACTTACCAGACGTTCTGTCCCTTATAGTTCACAAGCCGCGCATCCACTCTATTAGCCTTGACACAGATACATGTATGATCGGCATTAACCGGCACATCCCAGTAAGGTTGCGCGTCAGGTGACTTGTTCACTGGCTTAAGTGTTACTCAGGCGAGTACTATGGGGAAACGGAGACCACTTAATTTAGATCTTTACTCCCTTTCAAAGGAAAGTACCTTTAACGCGACATTGTGTCGGTTCAAATACTTTGATTGAACTCGATGCCCGATGGGTCTGAATGCATAGGGGTTATAATTGTCCTCAGCTCATCTGAGAACCGGGCTTATGTGCCTGAGAAACTAACGATGAATGTTCTTTCTCTGCCACTTTCTCTTCAACATCTAAACGGCCTTAAGGGGTTTGGTTGCTTTTAAAGTTTATCAACTGCCTTGATTTTATTGAGTTTATACCCCTGCTCAACTCATTGCAAGCCACGCCCTCCCTTTACAACCGTGGAGCTAGGTGGGTGTTTACCTCCACTCTCGCGAATGATCTTTCGAACTTCTCTATATCGATCCATCTAAGCTCATTGTCGAGCAAGTACTTACACTTCATCTTTTAATCTTTCTCATTCTGCAACACGGTCTCGCATTCTTGTAGAAACTTACAGCTGGGCCCCCGCCTTCAACATTTCAACAACCGCTATCTGTTCTAGCCTGAGATCTGCTGCGTCATGCACTTGGACCTTCTCCTGAACGGCGTGACATTGCTTTTTTGGAGGTTCCAGTGTAAAACATGTCTTTAAAACCATGTTCAGCTTAACATCAGATGAAGCATACACCTTCATCAATAAACAGCGGGTGGATAAAGTTTTTGCTTATTGGTCTGGATAACATTTAACTCTAAGTTGCGCTCAGATAACTGAAAACTGGATTTAAGCACAGCGTAAAGAGACGAGGACATGGGGCGTTACCTTTAGATAGGCTCCTATTGAATGTTTTAGCTTGGAAGATATCAATTCCACGCTTAGTGACAGCCTTAATCTTGATATTTCAACTGGGAACTAAAAATCTTATTACTCTACCAAGTCAGTAGGGGTCAGCGGTGTAATTACATAATAAGCTTTCTTCACACATTATGCTTTCTTCACATCTACCCAGACCATAATCAGGTTTCTTTTCCCCTGTGGCTGTCCATGGTGACCATTTTGTCAATCATCAGGTTATCTAGCTGGCGATACGTCCTTTCTTGGCACCCTTTTGTGTATCCTCCATCAAGTCAAACTAACTGACATGATGATGAGGTGATGTTATTTGGAAACGTTATTGGTCGCTGGTTAAGCTTTCTCATTCGAGGACATTCCCGACTTAGGGATTATCCTCGTTTTACCTTCTGCAAACCATGAGGGATGCTCCTTGTCACCCTCAGAGATGACAAGAAATCCTGAGATATACCCTTATGGAATGCATCTGTACGGTTGCACCAGTAGAAAGATCTTTGTACATTCCTTTATTTGAAGGGCGCATTTTTTCTTTTTATGTTTGCAAGTTTCCGTAAGTTTTTCTTTGAGGCGTTCGTGTTCTGCCTTTGCGATAGACATTTTTCTCCGCAGCTCAGTTGCTTCCACATCAAAAGCCTTCTTTTGTTTAAATAAATTTTAACTGGGCTGCCTGTGGCACAGCCCAGTTTTAAAATGGGCTTGGTTCTTCCTCCTGGCACAAATCGCACTCTGGTGTTTTCAGCGCGTGCGCAAGATATAAGCGTATGCGTAGAATGGGTCAGCGGACTTCAGCAGAGTACATTCCGTGGATCTCGAAACGACTCAAAGCTATTAGCAATCTATCTTCGGTGGAAGCATTATAGGAATGCAAATATACGAATGTAAACGCTGTTGATGGTTAGCCCACAGTAAAAGATGGCAAGATTACATTTTGGAAGTGGTATAGTTCGTGAACTATACTATGCGAGAGACCCATTTACAAGCGAACTTGTACAGTAAGTGAGCCACCTACTGAGTTAGAAGCGCTCAAAGAATCGCACCAGAATTAACTGTTAAAACTTAAACTTCTCGGTACGTAAACATTACGAGCAACTGGATGAGTGAAATTCAACAGTGTTTTTGATCAACACAACAGCCTTATGGAAGAATTCAGTACTTCAATAGCCAGCTTTTGGCAAACAATATCCTTGCTTTCAGGCATTTAATTTTTGTATTGACTTCATTGATTTTATCTTTCTTTGTTTTTATCATCATTTAATACAATTATTGCAATCGCGTATTTAGTGATCAATCTTCTACTGTCGTATGTAGATGTTTATACAGAGGCTGTTGTTATTTCAATGTGTAAACCGTAAAACAAACCAATTGACCGGAAATGTTTACAACGATTCCGAGGTAACAATCAGGTGAAAAAAGATATAAGATCTCGCTATGCAAAGTATGTTTTCTTGCTAGGAAAGGTAAACAGCATGATCGTGAGCCTAGTCCTTTTGGGCCTTTTTACTGACCGAAATGACGCATTCCTACCCTTTCATATACTTCAGCTAGTGAAATCTCTACCCGTTTTTATACCTGAAGCCTAAAAAAGATATCCCTTTCGCTCGGAGCCTCCCCATGTAGGCCATTATGTGGAGTACCCCCCCCCCTCCCCCCCCCCCCCCTCCCGGATAAAAAGCGCCATATGTGACCTCCGGAATGAACACTCTTATCTAATGCACCCGTCAGCCTGTGTACAGACGTCCCTTCCATGATAGGTCAAAAAATTAAATGAGTTCATTTTCATCCGGTCGGTTCGCAGTGTACAAAATCAAATCTTATAAAAATACTACTGATAAACTAAAAACACACCTTTTCTTGGCTCAAAAACTCTGTCCATGTCGAACCAATTTGGTTTAGTTTAGACAATTTAACTCTGTGCGGCCGCTCTTACTACAGCTCAATGGTATTGCACGCGATTAAAGAACATTTCAGATGCGCTGAAACTTTTCTCCTACGAACGGGACGATTTTTTTTATTGTTTTCCTCAAAAATAGAGACAAGCTGTCAACAAAACAAACAAAGTTCAGATAAACTAGAGATACCGTGTGGCACGAAATTTTCGCGGGTTCTAATTTTTGCGATTTTTCCAGCGATCCGCAAAAATAAGTTTCCGCAAAAAAAATTAAAGCAAGCATTTTTCCCGCAAAAATTGACTCCAGAGTAAATATACTCTGACTAAAATTTCCTACACAAAAATACAGTACTAAGAAATCGTGTCTGTTCAATTACAACTCACCTCTTTCATTCAGAAACAAAACGGTATACAATCATGAATTTGCTTTACATGG